CACTAGAGAACACATCCCTGATTGTATAGTTGTTATATTTATATGACATAAAAGGCCCATATAGGCTTCTACAACATCATATTCTCATTTTGTAAGACTCTGTTTTAAATCAGAAGCAGCCGGTGGTACTTGTAATGAGGGGTTCCGCGAATTAAATTTTTCCTTTTGGAGCGGCACTGCATATTTTCTAACAGGAAGAGTTTAAAAAGTTAAATGACTGTGATAATCGCCATTTTCCCAATTATGAATGAGAAAAGAAAGTGAGTAAGTTTTCTAATTAACATTTCCAGCATTGATGGCATTAAAAATAAAGGAGTTTAGGTTACAAAGGGGATTCGAAATGAAATGGAAAGAATTTTCCAAATGCAATACTATGTTTTGTTGAATTCCAAATAAACTTATAGCAGGATCCATGCTCTAATCAGTCAGATTAGGATCCTATTTCAACAGAGAACAGAGAAAGAATTCCGTTCTACCCAGTTGATCTCTAGCATTTGAGACTCAGTGGAAGTTCTTGAATATGGATCTTTTGTTTAATTATTAGGCCAGTTATCATCCTAGATGAAGTTTATGAGAGGAATTCATTATATAAAATCCAGTAAGGCGGTACTCAGATTTTCCTCCATAAATGTGTCTATTCTGTTGTTAAAATTACATTAGTTTACAATCACTATGATATTTGGTTGTGATACATTTCTAAATTCTAAATTATCTTTAATGTTTGCTAGAATGAATGTTGACTGTTTCCTAGTATGATTTGATTGCTTATTGTACCCTATGACTATTATTAAGTGTTGTATCTTATGATTCTTGACTCTTGACGAATGTATCTTTTCTTTTATATAGACTGAGAGCATATGCACCAAGACAAATTCCTTGTGTGTCCAATCACACTTGGCCAATAAATAATTCTATTCTATTCTATTCTATTCTATTCTATTCTATTCTATTCTATTCTATTCTATTCTATTCTATTCTATTCCATTCCATTCCATTCCATTCCATTGTTTGCTATATTGGTAGTGGTTTTAAATTTTGTTTGCAATATTAAAAGTTTAGTAGAACAAAGAAAATGTGATACAAAATGAATACAATTATATTTACTACTACAATAACCACCACCACTATTACTTAACAATATGTTTAATAAATCCTTGATAATCCATCATTGTGGATGGCTTCCATGACTATTTATTGTTTAAGGTTTTCAAACAAATTGTTTGAAATATAGGATAATTTTCTTTCAGGTGGTATTTATAGCCACATTCAGATAAGTTACTCATGTTTTAGATTCAACAGTTTGCCTTCCTGTGAAATGGGATTTGGCTAAAACAAAAGAAAAAAAGGCTAAAATAGATGAATGTATATTTTGGGGCTCTAACCTCACTTTTGCCTTGTATTCTGTTGAAAAGTTATTTATCTGTGATTGTTTTAGAAGCCAAATAAATCTTATTCTTCTACAGTAAGCTTCCTCAAAATCCAAATACAACCACCAACTTACAGATATGTGCAGTTTAGTCTTCTAACTCTTGGTTTTTTTTCTTTTTAATAATGTGCCATTTCTACTTACTATAAAATATCTGCCCTTCCTTTCTTCTTTTTAAGATGGTTTTTCATAAATGGTAGGAAAATCTCTCCAGGTTAAATTGTACTTACAAATGATAGTTGGCAGAATACAATTCTGATCCTTTTCACCTCATTTACAGTACAACAGGCTGGCCTGCACAGGCCCGAATATATCCATTTTTGAATGTAATTGTCCACATATTCCAGCAGCAAACACAAAACCCTTAGTAGGTTTCCAAGTAATTGCAACTAAACAAAATGCATAGTACTTTCCAATAGGTTCTAATTTGCAATAAATATGCTGTATCTCCTTCTTCCCTTTTATCCTTGAAATTTCTTCAGTAATATCTCCTCCCGTCTTTGTGTGGTACATTGTCTGTCCCTGCTACTAAAACCCATCATTGTAATTTGTTTCCCTGCTTCATTATAACTGTAATGTCCTTTCAGTTTTTCATTCAGAGAGCAGCAATTCCTTACTTCCACCTTTTGCTGGCATCGCTAAAATGACCTCTTGGATCCTGGTTCATGGAAATGAATATTTTCATAGATTTGCCAACATTTATATGCTGTGTCCTCTTCTAATTCTTCGTGTTTTTCAAAATATGAGATAAAACACATTAGTAAAAATGTAATACCCGTCCATAAGAAGCAAAAAAAATGTCCCTATTAAGAATATTAAATAACTTTGTAAACATATAAATAATTTATAAATAAATGTATAAAGAAAGAAAGAACATTAAATAACTGTAAATGTATAAATATCAAATGTCTCTGAACATTCCCTTAGAGAAGATTTAACCTTGAGGGTCAAGCATATCCAAAGAAGTGGATTGAATCTTTAGGTCCGTGATGGCGAACCTATGGCATGTGTAATAACTGTCTACACTGAAGTTTGCTTGAAAAAGGGGTATTTTTCTTTGCAACATATTCCTGTCACTGGAGAATCATCAACTACATTAAACCGAATTGTTCTCATAAATGGTATAGCCACATCTGTGGAGCGCTTGCCTCACAATCAGGAGGCTGTAAGTTTGATCCTAGGTATTGGCTAATATTTGGAATAGACTCTCCTGCTCGAGCAGGGGGTTGGACTAGATGACCTCCAAGGCAGGGGTGGGATTCTACCAGTTCGCACCTATTCGCTAGAACCGGTTGTTAACATTCTAAGCAGTTCGGAGAACCAGTTGTTAGAAGAAATTAGTGGCCTAATCCTGTAAGGAAGGCAGGAAGGAAATATTCTGGTGTTGCTTACAGAAACTACCTCTCTGTTAACCCTTCTTGGAAGGACTAGACTTCCTGTCTCAAGAACGTCTCTGGAGTTTTCCCCCCCTCCTTTGCTGGTACTTTGCTTGTGTGGAGTGACCATTCAAATTTACAATGGCACTGAAAAAAGGGTCTTATGACCCTTTTTCACACTTACGACTGTTGCAGCATCCCCACAGTCATGAGAGGCCAGGTGAGGAGATGCGTGCCTCGATGTGAGTGATATTGAGTTGGCCACACCCAGCCAATATCATGACCACCAAGCCACATCCACCCAGTCACATGACCACCAAGCCACGCCCACCAACTAAGCCACACCCACAGAACCGGTTGTTAAAAAATTTGAATCCTACCCCTGCTTCAAGGTCCCTTCCAAATCTGTTTTCTATGATCATGGCCTTGGTTTAGTTGAACTAATTTAACAATAGATGCACGTGAAACAAAATGTTGGTATATTTTTAAACCAGCTGCAGTTAATCCACAGGATGCATACCAGAAGACTACTGGAAGAGGAGAAAGAACAGATATCCAAGCATGTCTATTAAACAAAAGGCAAAGCAAGCCAGAAAGAAGATTTTCTTGCTAGATACAGCTCTTTTTTTGTCATTTAGGTATGTAAGAATACTCTTTCAACCTTTGTTATACCCATTTTTAACTTATACAAATTTTGAAATCTATTATGTGGAGCCATTTTTCTACCACTGGTGGTCAAAGCAGAATTCTATATGTCTACCCTATGGATACATTAGCAAATAAATTATTAAAAAGAGAGATATAGAATCAAAACCGAGAACCAACAAAGAATTAAAAACATTTTTGGGGGGTTGGTAAGGAGAACAAAGCACAGAAAACAAAAGATGTACAAAATGTGAATGGAAAGTTCCCACGAAAATACATCAGGTCTCCCCTTGAACACCAGGTAATATTATGCACATTTTGAGAAACAGGAATTGAAACTGCACTAATTAAATTATATAATCTTTCAGTAAGAGAGTAATTTGTTTAATTTAGGAGTAAGGAAACTGCCGATATTAAGGAGACTTATGAAATTAGTTGACACTTGACAATTAATAACTAGACTAGAGATTGATGCTTGCTATATCTGAACATGAAACTGTATTTTAATAGTTTACCAGCCCATCAATTGCATTTCTTTAACAAAATTGCACCATTCAAGAGATGTAATTAGTTAAACTGTGAATAAACTTCTCTAGGCTGTCCAGATTAGTTTTGTTGTTTTTTTTTAAAAAAAAAACTATGGTTCTTTGGAGGATCAGAGATCTATATTTTAAAACAAATGGAACATTCGTTCAGTTCATTAGTTAATTCAAGAAATTAGTGAACCAAAGAAAATGTACCGAAGATTAAAGCTGCATTTTTAAACAAAGCTGAGATTGCGGTTATGTACCATGCACCAAATATAATTAATAATTAGGCATTATTAACCATTGCAGCTGCAAGAGTCCAAACTTGGTTTAGATAGATACAGACATGTCAGGATTAAAATGCCTAGAAAACACTGGGAAAAATAAGCCCCAGGACTTTCTTGAATCATGGTTCCTGGCAATGTGATAATGTCAGCACATGTCTCATAAGATTAGGTACCTTTTCTGTTCATGCATTTGTGGAAAGCCCTAGAGAGCTTTGACCCAATTAAGAATCTTTATAGCCCATTCTCAAATATGATTACTCAGAGGTTTTAGTAAATGTTTTTGTGACTGCATCTTATTTGACTTACTTTGGTGACAACTATCACTGATCTCTTTAGTGACTCTCAATGTTGAGAATGGAATTTGTATTTTTAAAAAAAAACACCTCAGTAAATGATTCCCAGGGAGCCATTTGCAGATATGCAACACAAAAACTGATGTAGGGAAAAACTGAGCACTGTGTGAGAAGTTTGTGGTGTGTGTGTGTTTGTGTGTGTGCATGTGTCCGTGCGTGTGTGTACTGGACAGCTATTATTAACCCATCTGCGCTCACCATTCAGTTACAAGCAAACAAAAACAGTGAGACTGTATATACATTGAGTCCTTCATTAAACTATTGATTCCCCTTAGCATTATCCATAACGTTCCAGCGACTCAGCATGTCAACTGGTGCAGAGCGAGTCCACTTTCCTTTCAATACTTCTGCAGTTTAAAGAGAGAGGATCACGATGATTTATTTACCTGACATTTTCCAGTCCGGATGTCATAGAGGGCCACTGAACCATGGCGAGATCCAACTGCTATTCGATGACTCCGCTCGTAATAGCTGACCATGTAGAACCTGAATTGGACATCAGAACAAGGAAAAAGTGAGATCTGATTGGACTGTGGGCAAGATGCAAAATGGCGGGGTTGAGGAGGGTTTGGTCGTATTTTTTGTTTTATGTTGCTTATACATATCAATTTGTGAACAATGTGATACTTGGGTATCATATGTTTTAGTACAAATAAACATATTATTACTCATAGTTATTACATTTCATTGTTTCATTGTTTAAACATATCTAATACTACCGCCATTCAATTTCTAAACCTCCCTCTTTTTATTATATCTTGTTATATTAATATATATATTATTGTTCTCCTCTTATTTCTATTCTAACTTTTATTCATGTCACCGTAATATTCAAAGACATTTCTTTTCTATCTTCCATCTTTCACTGCTTTATTATTCATATTTTCCTTTTTTAAGTCTTCACATCTGTATATATTAAAGTTTCATCCTTCATTCTTTCATTGTTCAGTGTTTCAATATACAATTCTTATACCAATTGCAATATCATTTAAACATATAGGGTAGATCTATTTATATTCTTTCCATTCATCCAATCCATGTAATTCCACTATTAATACACATGCTTATATTAAAATATATTCTTTCATTATCTAATTACTCATTGTTTAATTTTTATTAATATTTATATTATTATTAATTTTATTATTTCACTGCTAATCATTAATTACATCATTGTATTATTTCAATATGTTAACAATACCATCATTCATTCTGTAGTTTTCCAAAGGGTTTTTTGGATGTTGTTGTTTTACCATGTTTGGGTAGGTAAAGGAAATTCTAAAAAAACAAGCTTTTATTTTACAATGCATCACACTGCCATGGTGCCATCTTCTCATTTCCCAGAATCCTTTGTGACAAAAAAAATCTCTTCAGCTTCTTGATAGGAACTCAAACACCTTAACCCCGTGTTTGAGTTCCAAGAAGCTGAATAGATGTTTGGCAAACTGGGTCCCAAAGGATTCTGGGAAAGGAAAAGGCGGCACCAGGCTACGTGTAAAATGAAAGGTTGGTTTTAGAATAAATTATCCCGAAACCCGAATAAATTATCCTGAAAAACAGGATAATCTCTGATCTTTCCTACATTAAATACAGCACGACCAACAGCTGTTGAAAATTTTGAAGGCCTCGTGCTCTAGATTTTACCCATGTATATTTCCACCTAGGTTCTCAAATGGTTTTCTTGATTTATTTGTGATATGATTTTTTTTTAGTCTTCTTTTGGCACATAGGCCATGCAAGAAGGCCAGCAGTAAAACAAAGATAAAATAGTTAAATTGGAAAGAAAATAATTCAGAATCATACCAATCTCTCTCATTTAAATTGTCCTTTTATTCAGTTGTTTTCCTGTCTAGGTAAATACTGCTATTTCTTTGCATGATATATGTACATGCCATTTATTTTGTTGGCTTTATTATGTATTGTGTTCTTCATTACAGTAGACAGAAGCTTCAGCAAGAAAGCCTGTTCTCTTTCCTCCACTTTTCCAAGAGAAAATCTTTCTTGTCCCTTTCCTTTTCCCACTATGCAACTCCACGCTTTTAAGAAAATATAGCAGCTCTCCTGACCTGTCTACTTCCGATATCTGCCACAGCCTCCTCATATAAATTCAAATTAGTCCTTCTTTTTATCTTTTATTCATTCAGTGTTATATGCGGCCAGATGACTGCCAGGAATATAAATCCTTCCATCCTCCACCATTCAGTCAGAACTGAAGAAGCTTCTTGGACGAGAAGCAAAATGACTTCAAGGAAAAACAAAGTCCAGTTGCCTTTTGAAAAAGCACCTTGACCTGGATGACTGAGATGGATGCTTGGCTACCAGCCAGTTGCCAAGCATCTGAATTTTTGACCAAGGGATGCTGTAACAGTTGCAAATGTGAAAAATGGTCACAAGTCACACTTTTTCAGGGATGTAACTTCAAATGGTCACTAAATGAACTGTTGTAAGTTGAGGACGACCTGTATTTTGGACCAGGACTGTCGAGACTTAAGATTCTAATCTGCCTTTTTAACCAGAGAAGTTCACAAGGTGACTCTGGGCCTGGCAACTTCTGTCAGCCCGTCCTCCTCACTGTGGCAGAGAAAAGAAAAAGAAATGCTACGTGTGCCTCCTTGAAGTCGTTGAGGAAAGGGTGATATAAATCTAACTAACCAACCGGTAATTACATTAAATAAAATTACTGCTACAGCGAAGCAGACATTGTGCATTAATCAACGTATCAGGACCGTTACACGGAGACAGCTTTCAAATTAATGACATTAAATATGGTACATTTTCTGTGAATTTCTGCACAAACATTTTTATTGTTAATATAGTTACAGGAGGAAAACTGTCATGTAATACAATTTAAGAGGCAATTGAAAGCTTTTGACCTTCCCTTGTAGAAAAGAAAAGGATCTTCTCTAATTTGAAAACTGAGAGGGATTTCAAATAGGTCAACCATTAAGGATTACAATACTGGGCCAAATGGAAATCTTGGAACATGGACATGGGAGAAGCATCTGCAGCAAATGAGCTTTGTGAAGCCATATATAGAGGCAATAAAGATAGGGGTAATATTTTTCCTCTATTGGATAGCGCTATAATCTTCAATATAAACCTGAATTTATCTGGTTTACCATCTGCTAGAGTTACACTGGATGGATTACTCAGGAAAAACTATTCCCATTTATTGGGTCCTTATCCGTCTTGCAAAAAAAAAAAAAAAAAAAGTTATCAGAAATGTTCAGTCTCATTAACTCTAATGAGTGAATAATACCCTTAAAACATTCTTTTAAGATTGGAAGAATGCTAAAAGTATCAGTTATCAATCAACCTCTTTTGTATATTATGAGTGCATGATAAAGATCATTTGAATTAATTTCAGATTGATTTTGAGAAAGTTTGGTCTAGACAACAGGCTGGAAAGTGGCTGACCATGAGTTCTAGTCCTGCCTTAGCTATGAAAGCCAACTGGATGACCTTGGCACCAATCTCTCTTCTCAGCCCAACTCATCACACAGAGTTATTGCTGGGGGGAAACAGGAAGAGGAATGTGTGTTGGATATGTTCACTGCACTGAGATATATGTATGTATGTATAAATAATAAACAAATGAACACACAAATAAATACATTTTTCACTCAGATTTTGGTGCTGAAGTGTTCTAGTTCCCTCACAACCCAGTGTGAATTTATTCTTAATTTGTTGAAGGATTCTATTATAGGAGATCAACTGAAGCAAGCAGACTATGGCCAGATCCAAAAGTGAAAATCCTTGTTTGTTCTTTAAAATCTCTTTATTTTTCCCCTCTCTAATAAATGGATGTTTAGAACATGTCCAGATGCTCTTACCATATTTCTCAAATGTCAAGTTGTCCTTTGCATGGGGCTTCAAGCAGGGCAAGGCTGCCTGAAATTAGCCCAGGGGCTACAAAATAATACTCTTGATCAAGTTAACCTTGCTATCTATAATATTATCACAAGGCATTTAATTTATCAGTTTAAGTATCTGAAAGTATTAAAAACTACCTCAGAAATACCTTAATGCATTTGTGATATTACAGACAGTCCAATTTGTGTCCCCAAAGGCTATTTTTAAATAAACTATTTTTAAATTAAGATGCATTCACAATATAAGCTTTTCAAAAAGGAAATGAAGCCTGAATATTATGAAAAACTCCAATCTTAAACATATTAAGACTGCTCCTAAAATACTGAGTTTGATTTAGCTCATTTTGTAGCATAATCATAAAATACTCTTCTGCACTAAAGTGGTAGGCTTAATAATTAAAACATCTGCTCTATTCTGCTGTATCCAAATTTCTGAAATTCTGAATCGAGAGGTTGTAAAATCATTTTGTTTGTTTTATTAAAGAAACACAAATGATATCATCACCATGTGCCATTCACAAAATTAAAAAGAGAATAAAACACTATTAGCAATTACTTAGGGCTGAAATAATATACTTATCTGCAATATAACACCAATATGATTTTTTTTCATACTAAATTTACTTCGGGGCCTTTTCATAGACCTGAAAAACTATACAAACCCTGGTTCCTAAGTTGCCTCTGGATGAGATGAGTGGCACACCCATCTTATAATTGGTGGCACACCAATAAGGATGTCTAGACATCTTTATTTACAAATAAAGAAATTCAGACCAGCATATCCTTTTCTGAATTCTTTGCTCATCATACACATTCTCAGTTTTTGCAATACGTCTTCTGAACCATGACAATTTCTTCTCTCTCTCTCCAATGTCGTTTTCAGAATGCTGCCAATGTTGGTGGGACTGTGTTTTTCTCCTAGGTGGATCCTTGATTAGGATACTGTTTTCTGCTTGACCTTCTGGTGTTAATATCTGCTTATCTGGTAGGCTATTGGTGAGGGGGTGTTCTTAGTTTTTTTTTACTTTCTCTTTTGACTGATGTGTAAATGTGATTTACCTCTAGGTGCCCTTTAATGACCTATTTGTCTGAATGCCAAGCTTCCAGGAATTCCCTGGTGTTTTTGGATTTAGCTTGGTTTAGGACACTTACAGTTTCCCTGTGGTCAACTGTGGTCTGTCCATGTGTTGTGATATTAAGGAGTTTTCATCATGTCTTCTGACTGCTAGTTGGTGTTCATGCATGCGTTCTGCTAGTCTTCTGCTGCCTGTTCTACATAGTAGCTGTTATATAGTAGCCTTAGAATGTATATGTAGATGACTCCTGCTTTTACTTCTTGGGTTGATGGTGTTTTGATTTACTTAAGATGTTTTGGAGGACTTTAGTTGGCTTGTGTGGTACAGTGATGCCGTATAGTTGTAACAGTCTGTTGTTTCTGAGATGTTTTTGATGTAAGTTAGTGATATCCTTTTCATAGGTTGTGTTGGTTATACTGTAGCGTTGTGATGGCGAACCTGTGCAGAGCCATCTCTCCGGGCACACCAGCCGTCGCCCGTTACTCTTCTGGGTTCCGGTATGCCAGCTGGTCTTCATGCATTCAGGTTTGCCAGAAAC